TGTTGGTGCTGCCGGGGCCCGCGCGCCTCCTTCCCCACGCCGCCATCTTGGAGACACTCGCCTCGCAAATGTCTCCGCCAAGGGGGCCCGGGCGAGGCCCGCTGCCCGACGGGAAATGTAGTGCGCGGCGCCGCGCCGGAACCGCGGCGGGGGGACGGCCCTCCGCGCGCGCACTACAACCCCCCGAGTGCCCCGCGCCACCGCCGTCGCGCGGGGGCTGCTGGGACGTGTAGTCCCCACCCGGCTCTGCCCACGGCCCCGGCCCGGAAGGGAGGGGAGCGAGACTACGAGTCCCGGCGTGCCCCGCGGCGCCGCCTGGAGGCCCCGGCCGCGCGCGCGGGCGCCGCTCCCGCGATCCCCGATAGCGCGGGGCGATCCCGCCAAGCGGGAGCGTCGGCGCCCTCGGTGCGGGGACGCGTCCCGCGTGTCCCCGTCCGGCCCGCGGGGGCCCTGTCCCAGCACGGCGCCCTGCCCGGCCCCGCGCAGCCCTCGCGGCTTCTCCCGACCCGCGCGGGGCTCCCACACGGTGCATCTCCCTTGGACCTCTCCAGAGCGCTCGGCTCTTCCATGACATTTCCAGGGAGAGCGGCTTTTCCCTGGGCTGCATTTCCCGTAACCAGCAGCTGCTCCTCCCCATTCCAGGGGCACCTCCTGCCACCAGTCCTCTTCCAGCTCCAGCGGTCCCTCATGCCATTCCCCATCTCCCATTCACTTCAAGTACAGTTCTCTGATATTCTCTTGGATATCTCTCTCCTCTTCCTCAGGAGACACCAAATCCCCAAGGAAAATCCCCCATCAGCAAATCCCCACGGAGACACCAAAGCCCCGAGGGGCAGGGAGCCCTCAGGCACACCAGGGAAAAGAGTAGTGCATTTCAGCAGCAGGTGAAGCCATTTCTGTATCTCCCCTTCCTAGAAAGTGCCTTTTTTTTTTTAATAATGAGCATCTCCGAGCACCGCAGAGCTCCACAGTGGTTACCTCCGGGCACCGTGGGGCTGCACACCCAGCCCTGCCCTCGCAGCTCCGCTCTGCGGTCGGCATCTTTCCCGGTGCCTACCGGAGCGTTTGCATCCCGGCTGGGTCCTGCCGGGAAGGGCTCCCGGCGCGGAGCGTGTGCTGCCGAGCGGGGCATTGCCCGACCCGCTGGAATGTGCAATGTAAACAGCAGCAGCCCGGCTTCGCGCCGGGACCCGAACCCGCACCTCGGGAGGAGCGAGAGCCCRACTCCTGCCTGCTCCGACGGCGAGCCGAGGGCCGCACGTCACCTTTAGCATTGGGTCAAATCATCGCTGCAAATAAGCCACRACCATGCTGCCCCCGACGCCCCAAACCTTGGGATTTTCAGCTGGGAGACGGTTGCTTTAGGCAGCCACACAACCACGCTGCACTGGACAACCTAGCGCCGAGTGCTCCGGCTGCATTCCCTGCTTTAGGAACACGGGGCCCCAGGAGGGAATTTCCTTTTTCTGAGTCACCTGCCCCGCTGCCTTGCTTGGGGTGAGCACAGCAGGGAGAAACTCCACTTGCTATTTAAATAGCTGTAATGTTTTCCAGTGTCTTAACCAACAAACACAAGCATTTCGGGCTGGCTTCACGAGAGGCTGCGCTTGCAGGATTGCTCCTGATGGCTATTTGCCTGATGACTCTAGAGGAACGATCATCACGAGCAGAACGAGCTGGGATCCCACTTGCCCCCAGCTCTACCCAGTCACCACCGGGTCAACCAGCTCTCAACAAGGGCTGAGACTAAAACTCAGCAGCTTCAGCTTGTGCCTCCTGCTGCAAGCGCACGGGGAACATCTGGGACATCTCCCACTCGCCAGGGATCCGGCTCYGAGGTGCTCTGCAGCAGGAGCTGATCCCTGCAGCCCATCTCTCACCTGCCACCTTTGGCCTCTCACCTTCTCCAAGACACAGACGTGTTAATTACATGTGTGTAATTAACAGAYATTTTCGGGAGGGAGCCAGCCCGGCTGTAACGCTGCTGGGGATGCCCCCAGGTCCCCCTGCTCCTGAGCCGTGGACCACTAAGGTGAGTTAAGCCACACGTTTTATTGTATTATATTCCATGCAATATGTTCATGTTTTATAGTATGACAGAGGGAAGGAGAAAGATAAATGTTAGACATAAACAAAAGCAGAAAGRTCGTTTGTAACAGGTCCTGAGAAGGAAAGGCACATTTGTAACCACTGAATTCAACAGAATGGAAACCTTGGAGGGAGGAAGACAAGTCTGGAAAGCAGGTGAGAAAGGGGGGAGTTCAAGTTGGGTGACGTGGAAGCGAGTTCAACAGCAATTTGTATTTCCCCACCTCCCAAAGTCTGTAGTTCAAAYGGGCTGGGGGGGCCTCAATGTTCAACCAAAGCGCTTCCACACTCCCATTTCAGGAGAGAGCCCAGGATCCCCAACTCTCCTAGGCTTAGTCAGCACCATGGAGCAGCCCAGGGCAGCGGAGGGCTCGGAAAGCTCCTTCCCACACGGACGAGCAAGGAAAAGRCGGCTGGCAGAGAGGCAGGAGGGAGACGAGTCCGATGCCAGGAGCCGCCGGCCACGTCCTGCCGCCGGATCCCGGGAGCACRAGGACTGCAGCACCGTGGGGAGCTGCGGGTATTGCTTTTTGCCGACTCGGAGGCCATGGGGAAGGAAAGGCCGGCGCGGAGGGTGGATACAGCAGTAAAACGGTTGGCACGGACACCGGCAAGCATCTCCGCCGGGTCAGGAACCCAGGGGGTTGTAGCACCTCAAAGGGAAGCAGCGGCAGAGCCGCGTGCTGTGCCTGATTTAAGGCAGGGGTTGCCGCTTGGGCTCCGGCGCCRGGAAGCAGGAGGTTCCTGCCAGAACAGCGCACGGGCTCCGCTGGGACGTGGGCACTGTGCCAAGCGACCACAACTYCTCTGCAGGGACCCAGCACCGTGCTGCCCAAACCCGCCACACTGGAACCAGCGCAGAGCCGGGGTGCTCAGCACCCTGCACAAGCTGTTGCTCCTAGCAGATCCCTTCCCTGCAGCCAGCCCCACTGCACTGCGGATGCAGTGCTGCCTTTCTACCCCGGCTTGCAGGGGAGGAGATGGTTCAGCTTCATTTTGGGACAGCTCTGTCCCTGCTTGGCCACAACACAGCCAACCTTGCTCCTATGGATCCACAAAGCGTATTTTGCCTGACAAAGGGCTCACATTTTGCAGGCTACATTTCTTCTTGAGCCCCTTCTCCTTAGCTCTCTACCCGTGACACTTTCCCAGTCCCTCTAAGACATCCTGAAGGCAGCGGCCAGGCTGAACCAGGCAGCAAGAGGACAGAAACGCGAGGCAGGGGCGCAGCTGAAGCCCGATGCCTCTCTGGGCAGCGCAGGGCGAGGGGGCTGCCACCCCCAGCCTCAGCAAGGGGCGCAGGTTCCTCCCAAGATGGGTCCCAGCAGGGCAGGGAGGGCCTTTGGGAAGGTTTCATGATGTATCACAGCCCACAGCCCCTGGGCAGCRGGGCAGGGGCTTCGCCTTGACCAAGAGCAGCACTGGGACCATCCATGCAGAGGCCGCACGTGCGTCTCCAGCTCCTGCTCATCCCACTGGGAGCAAAGGCTGGGGGAGCTGCTGCCGTGACCTGGGCAAAYGCTGCTCCAAGGGCTGAGCTCTCTTGGCCAGGGCTTCATTCGGCCCATGACACAGGCTGCAAACTTTAGTCCCTACCCTACGAGATAAGCTCCGCTTGGATCTGGCCTCGGGGCAAAAGGCTCTTTATGTCATCCTGCCCAGCCCCAGCCCCCCGGCTGGGCTGGCAGCTGCTGGGGGGCAGAGTGCCAGGAGCTCTGCCGCACGCAGCCCCACATCCCACAGCCTGTGGGCAGCTCCCGTCCTCCAGGGTCTAGCTCAGGCCCTGGAAAACGTGGACGAGGCAGGACAGGACAATCCAGAGCCGATCTGTACCCCGCTCTTGGCACTGCGGTGACACTGTTACCTCTACGTGTGACAAAGCTGAGCCGTGCAAGAGGGACATCCTCCATGGAGACAATGTGATGCTTGGAGCCTGGAGTTCCTCCTTGCCACCGGTCAAGGGCCCTGCAGTGCCACCATCACCCGGGGACACGGAGCTACAAGGAGAGGCAGGGGGAAGACGGGTGATCCCTCGAGTGCCAAGTCTGGTTCCAAAAGCTGCAAGGAGGGGAAGGGCCCAGCTGTAAGAGCCAGCACGTGGCTCTAGTGTCACCCCCCGGAGGTGGCACAGGAGCGGGTCCTGGAAGCTTTGCTCCCCCCAGCACTCCCGGGATGCAGAGAGGGCTCGAGCTCCGAGGTTCTGCAGCACAAACCCAGAGCTTCAGCAGAGGGGGATGGAAGGTCCTTCATCTTCAGCCACAGCCACCTGCAAAACCTGCGAGGTTCCCTCAAGGCTCCGGCCGTGCCGGGATGCCAGGCCTGGCTGGGAATGGCTGGYGCTCTCCTCCCGCACGGGCTGAATCCACCACCCTGGCACCAGGGAGCAGAGGTGGGAGAGCAGCCGAGGCCCCGCGGAGATCCCAGGGCTGCGACTCAGCCATGTTTCTTGCTCCGTGTGGTCGCGCTGCAGCCCACGAGGACAAGGGCTGCTGCCAAAGGCTCCTTCTTGCTGGATTCCTCCCTCTCCAGGTTCGAAGGTTTCACTGTCCCAGTGCCAGCAGAACCCACAAGTTCTCACCCGAGCCCCGTGAGGCTTTGGGGAGGGCTCAGTGCTCAGCAGATGCTCCTGCCACGGGGGGACGAACCTTCCAGCCCCTCAGGTTTAATCCACAGCATCTCCCCAGCAGCTGGGAGCGAATGGGGGCAGATTCCCTGCGGTCCCCCCTAACCAACATCCCCCTGCAAGTTCATGGCCATTGCCAGGCAGAAGGAAGATGACGAGCTGCAATCTGAGCCATCYGCTGGTCTTGTGATGGAGTTTGGCGGAAAAACACATCCTCTTCCACCCCCGGCTTCAGAAAAGGGCCAAGGGGAACGTGTGCCCAGAGCCAGCCCAGCCCAGCGGCTGCAGCCATGTTCACCCGCGGGCAGAGAGGAGGTTGTGCCCACACTCATGCACCACATGGACACACTTAAAAAAATGGGAATTGCGAGTGTGGGAGGTGAGAGGGGGTTTCCTGAGACCGCAGAGAAGCGAAGGCCGCGCTGAACAGTCGGGACAGGCGTGCTGGTGTCAGGGCAGTGCTGCCCTAAGGCTGCAAGTGTTCCAGGTACTGCGGCAGCGGGTTCTCTTTGACGTATTTCTGAATATACCAGCACGTCAGATGAGCTTTCAGGTCCTCCTCCACCACGAAGTCCAGGGCTGCCTGCAACCAAGCAGAGCGCAGCTGGGTTACGAACAGCATCCCTGGCTGATGCCCTTTCCAGGACACTTACAAGAGGCTGATGGATGCAGCCCTGCTCCCGGGAAGCGGCTCTCACGGTGCCTTTGCACCTATAGAGCTGGGGCTCTGCTCCCTCCTTGYACCAACCAGGTCATCCTGATAACCCCAAAGCAGCACCCCACAGCCCCCCATTGCACTGAGCAGCTCCTCAGCTCCCCCTGTGTGGCTTCAGGGCCCAAAAATGACACCAGGAGGCAAAAAGRGTCTCAGAGCATCAAAGGCTTGAGGTGCAGGACACCAGTGCCATGGAGAAATGGGGAATTCGCTCCTGAGTGGGGTGGGAGCAAGGGCTTTTTCCTGGAAGAAGCTGGGCTAACAGCTGGACATGCTAGAACTCACTCAGCCCCTCTCGCGGCCAGGAATAGAAACATCTGATCACAGGTTTCCATCTCTCCTGCCAGCGCCAGGGAAAGGGAGAGGGCAGCCCTGCCACCCAGACATGGCCCCGGTGGCACTGAGCCCACGGGGCAACTGCTGCCACCACGGAGCACACGGAGGAGCTGCTGCCTCCCCCTGCACCCAGCATCACTGTCACACCGAGCTGTCCCACAGCGCCCAAACAGGGTGCCAGGTGCTGGGGGGCTGCTCCTGTGAGGAGCTAATGCTGAGGGATGGGGGGGACCCAGCCTCTGCACCAGGGGAGTGTGGAGACAGCAGGGAAAGTCCTSTGGATCTCTCCAGGTTTGTCTGGAAAAGGTCCAGGATGTGGCTCGGGGAAGGGGGATCCCTGCAGCAGTTCCCTGCAGCTCCCTGTTTTTCTTCTGTCAATAGAATCCTCAGTCAGAATTTTGAAAGTCAATGGAGGGGTTTAATACAGCCAGGAAATGCCCCTCTGGGACCCCAATGAATGGGGAAATGGTACTCGTGGACCCCAGTGAGCCACAGACCTGCAGGAGCTTCCGTCTCTTGCATTTCAGCAGGTCTCCAGATCACCCCTTCCATCCTATCAGCTCCAGACAGGCCACCCTGGCATGAGACAAGCTGCTCTGTTCTCTGCTCCTGCATGCAGAGAACCTGGGGACCCTCGGCAGTCCCCAGTCACCTTTTCCCACAGCCCTCCGACCTGACAGAAACAAGGAAGGAGCTGGAGGAAGCAAAATGCTCAGCAGCTTTCTCTCAGTAAATGCTATTTCTCTCTCACCTAGGAGACAAAGGGGTTTAAGGCAAAGCAGGGGACCAAAACTTGGCCGCTCTCAGCACAGAAATGCTGAGCCAACAAACTATCCCCCATCCCCAAAGTGAGGGCCATCCCCACCCATGAGCAAATCCGAAATCCGGCCAGGAAGAAAGCAGGGATCAGAAGTGATCCCACCTTGGCCATACGGCTGCTCTGGTGTCTCCCTGCTGTCCCTTACRGCTCGTTGCCTCCTGCCTGGAGGGGATCTGGGGCCACCCGCACGGCTCCGCTCCCTCCGAGGGCTCCGTACCTTGGCCAGGTGCTTGGCTATCCCTCTTCCTCGATAGGCGTCCGGCACCTCCGTGTGCTGCAGGTCCACGATCCGCTTCCCCACGTACTCGTAGAGCAGCACTGCCCTGTCGTGGCAACCTGGGGGAGCAGGAGAGCAGTGAGGCTCCGGGGGGCCCTGGCGGGACGGAGCGCGGGGACAGTCTGCAGGAGGGAACGTGGCCTCGTGGAGCTCGGAGCAGCCTAGCTGAGATTTTGCTTTTGGTGACACCAGCACATCCCTGTTGACCCTCCCGAGGTGGGAACAGGCAATTCCAAATCCCCGAGCCASGGGCAAACCTTCTACCCATCCCCGTACACATCAAGTGTCGATACAAAACACCTAAGGCAGCAAAGCAGACGACAAAAGACATCSGAGGCACACGGAGTGGAAAGCAAGAAGAGCAGGGGGAAGCTGACACAAAAGCCCACTCTTTTCTCGTACAACATGCATTTCTTTTCAACCACGGTACCCAAGACAGCATTTCTTGGCGCGGCATTGCAGCCTAAGGAGGACAGACACTCCCTGGGGAAGAAGCTGTGAGACAGAGCTCCCAAACGCACAGGACAAAGTGTGTGCAGGGCTGCACGGGTGTGTGCACCCGCATGTGCGCACGCTTCCTGTTGCAACACCTTGGCATCGCTCACAGCCATTCAGATGCAGCGGAGAAAAATAAGCAGTTTCAGTGCACATGTAAAACAGGAGAGCTAAYAATACCCCTCCAGCTTCATCGGCAGAACCTGAGCGTCTGTCTTCGGCTCAAAAAGCAAACATTTCATTTCTGGWGGATTATTTTTAGATTTAAAAATGACTTCCAGAAACCAAAGCTTCCAAATACAATAAAGGAGACCTTTTCTTGCCCTCCAGTGCTTATTGGAAGGTGAAGGGCCACGAGTTCACCTGCATTTAATAAATATTTCAGCTGAGCTCAGTCTGCCTTATTGCATTGCTTCTTGACTGACAGCAGCAGCCCCGTCTCCCACATCTCCCTATGTGACAGACCCGCTTCAATYCTGCACGTTGCAGCCAGCCTGGCAGCAGGGCCACGGGCATTTGCCCAAGGTGAGCAGCGGCTGAGGACGCTGGAAGTCATTACATGGAGCAGACACGGCTCCACGCTCACCTGCACAAGCTCCCGCTGAGAAGCAGCTCATATTTTTGTTCCTGCTCCTTTCAGGCCTCTCTCCCATGCCGCATGGAAACCTTGGCCTTTCCAGTATGATTTTATTCCCGCTGGTTTCTTACCCACCCATTCTTGCACCAGTATTGTGTCCCTGGTGTACACAAATCCTTTCCTTTCCCAACTCCTTTTCCTTGGCATACCTGCCTTCCTCCCCAGGTGACAGCAATCCCCTCAGCCTCCAATGTGCCAGGAAGCCATTCAGACCCCTGCAGCTCCCACATCCCTGCGATTAACGCGCCCTGAGACTCCATCCCTGCTGCCGCCCCTTCCCAAATCCCCTTTTCCCGTATGGGGCTGACCCCAGTCATGCTCCAACATCCATCAACGCCCCGCCTGGTGCTCCAGGTGCTTTGCAAACACCGCAGTCCTGGAAAACCTGTTTTTCAAATGTCATTTTGCTCATTTTGGTGTCCCCACCGCCACCAGGCGCTCACTCAGCAGCCCAGGTTTTCACCTGCGGTGCTAGAAGCTGCATCGGGTGCAGATGCAAGTCCCAACCCACGGCTCCTCCCCAAGGCTACGGGGCCAGCCTGGCACATCCCTCTGCATCCACCCCCGGCTCGCACTTCCACGGAAAATGCATCCATCTCCCAGCACTAACAGCACGGGGATTAGGGGCGCTTCCCTCTGCAGCAGCCCACGTGCAGGCACCTTCACAAGGGCTTTGCAAGCTCTTGTTTCAGCGAGTCCCACCTCTCTCCGGCCGCAGGGTCTCTCCTCCTGCCGGACCCACGTGCCACGTGTGCCAGACCTGGAGCTCACAGAAACCTGTTACCACAGTGGCTCTCACAGGCTCCAAACTCTCTGCTCGTGGGCTGAATCCTTCCTTAGTCTCTGCCTGTGTAAAGTTTGGAACTCAATCCTTCTCCAAGGCCAGGCAGAAGGTCTCTCTAGAATACATGCAGTCTTTACACAAGCATCACATAGGAACGTGCCTTAAAGCCAAAGGCAATGCAGCATTTGGAAGAAAAAATAAATTAAATAAAATGATATATAGATACACATCTCCCAGCTCTGCCCTGGRTAGATTTTTGTTGATATTTGCAGGTTATATTCCAGAGGCTCCACAAAACCCAGCAGGGCCGGGAGGTGGCAGAAACGGCCCTTGCTGGGCATGGGGCCCCATTTGCCCTCCTGGAGAAGCCTGGAGCGGGAAGAGGGCGGCATCCAGCTGCAGGGAGCGGCCGGGATGGGTGCCCGGGATCAAGCCCTCGCTGCACCTCCAGTCTGAAGCAGGAAAGGGAAAAGCCCTGGTGTCCAGAGGAGAAACTGGGATCCCACCGGGTTTCAGCCCTGCCTGGCCTCTCCCATGCCTGCTGGCTGCGCTGCTGCCGCCCGGCGCGGCTCCCGCAGGGACATCCTGCCCGGGCCAGCTCTCCCTGTCGCTGAAGCTGGAGAACGGCTTGGAAGGGGGAGGGAAGGACCGGCCAGCGGAAAACGCGTCGCGGACGCCTGGTTTCCTCTGAAAGGGCCTCTCCGGGAGCGCCGGGGAGCAGCAGGGCAGGGCGGGCTGCTCCCTGCGCTCCGTGGCCGTGCCCGGGATCTCCCGGAGTGACTCTCATGGAAAGGCTTGTTTTCCAACCCAGGGCCTCTCCAGGGGCTGGGAAGGAGGCAACGTGGGAGCAGAGGGGCCTCACAGCCGCCAGCCCCACGATCCCGGGCTGCTCCTGGCCCTCTCCCTAGCCCAAGGGGGAGGAAATACTGCAAAGCTGAAACGATCTAACCCTGAGAGGGGTAACAAGGAGGATAGGAAGGGGAGAAAAAAAATGGAAACTAAAGCAAGGAGAGCAAAGGAAGCACGTAGAGAGCCAAAGCCCTTTGCAGGGACCTGTCAGGAGCAACCCGGCCCCAGCCCATCACACTGGATTCAGTTCAAGCCTGAGGAGGTGGAGGGAGCCCCTCAAGCAAACGGGGAAGCAGCAGCGGGTCCTGGGTACTCACCCCCTGCATCACCTGGACCCCTTCCCTGCCTCGACCCTGAATCCCTGGGGCTCGGATCCAAAGGTGGTTTCTCCAGCAGCCCATTCAACTCCTTCCTGCAGGGCTTGCACTGGATCCCACCCRCTCCCAGGGACGCAATTCCCTCCGGATGAGGGACACGTGCAAGCAGAAGCCTAAGCCCCCTTCCCCTTTGGGACAGGGCTTTTATCAGCCTGCCAAGATGGGACACGGCAAAACAGCGTCAGGGCTTGGCCGGCCCCAGCCGAGCCCCAGCAAGGCGGCTAAGGAGGCTCCGCTTGCAGACACTCCCTTGCATCACCCCAGCTCGGAGGCTCCCCCAGCAAGATCCGAGTCAACGCAGATCTGCAGAGAGGAGCAGAGCCCCAAAAGGAGCAGGAGGCGGCAGAGCAGCTGGTCCCCAGGCCCTCCTGCCCCCTCTCCCAAATGGCCACGTGCCCGAGGGACTGGAAGCTGTTCCAGGAGGTGGGAAAGGGCCTGAGGAGAGGGGCCAGCTCTATATTTGTCCTCCACGGATGGTTTGCAGCAGGGCTGCAAGACRGGAGGTGTGACGCTTCCCAAGCGGGCTGGATGGCTCGGAGCAGCTAACGCGGGACCTGGTGGCAGCGCCAAACACAGGCAGCTCGTGCCAAGCCCAATCCCRGCCCAAAAGCTGGAGAGGGACGTGGTAGGAGAGACCTGTGGGCAGCAGCTTGGCCTAAGGCAGCCCCGACACCCAGGCAGAGCGCAGGGACCCGCAGCCCCGGAGCCTTCTCCTCTACTCCAGCCCACAATAAGTCATTGTGGGCACGGGACCAGCGGCAAAGCAGGGCCAGGAGGCGGCTGGCTGCTCCACGCCGCTGTCTCGGGGACAGTTTCTGAGCTCAGTCGCCAGCCCCTAGAATCAGTGGCCAGGATTCAGCCCCCTGGATCTCACTATTCAGCCTCCTTCAGGTACCGGTGCTGCAAAGCCAGAGAGCAAACTGGGGGAGAGCAAATCCCAGCCCCGTGTCCTGCTCTCGGAGGGGGCAGCTCGGCTCTCCCGGTGACCCCTCTCGGGTGACCACTGCGGGACAAGCTGTGCTGAGGAGCATTCGCACCCCGAGCTGGGGCCACCGCGCGCCGAGAGCTGGCCTGGCTCCCCCGCGAGCAACTGGCACGTTACTAGGGTGAGAAAACACAACAGAGGACAACAGAGCGCTGAGCGGAGCCCGCGCCGGGCCTCGTCCGCGGGAGCACCGCGTGTCTCTGGCTCAAAGCAGCTCCCCCGTTTTGGGGGTCTCCCCAAATGACCGTGGCCTGGGGGAAGAGCAGGGATGCAGAGTATCCGGTAAAGAGACCTGGCACCAGGACGGAGGGAGCAGCTTCCTCCCATGTCCCAGCTGGGGGGACACGGGGGAGGCAGGGGCTGCGTGAAGCCGAGCCTGGGATCCCCCCGCAGAGCCGCTGGCTCTTGGGACAAGTCAGGAGCCTGCGCAGGCAAAACGGGAGCTTCCAGAGACTGGATCCTGCCCAAGCCCAGCAGCTGGGAAGGAGCGGGATGTTTGGGAAGTGCTGAATGAACCAGAGCACATGTGCACAAGAGGCTGGGACGCTACCGAGAAGAGCGAGCTGCTCAGGACACACTGTGAGCCCCTTTCCCAGGGGCAGCGGGCGGGATGGACTGGATGGATGCTCCGAAATCCAGCAGGTCACTGCTCAAAGCACCTCCCTGGGCTCAACCAGCCGTGCCAGAAGGCAGGATGAGCTGCTGGCTGCTTAGGGGTGGGAGTCCCTTTGGGTTTCTTCTTTTGACCAGAAATTTTAACTTGTATCCAAAAAAACAACTTTTTTTTTTTTTTTTTTCCCCCCCTCTCTCCTCTGACAAAAGCAGCCTGGGAGATTCCCACAGAAAATTCCAGTTTTGATAAAGCCACCACATGGGGAGCTTTCTAGCTAGTTCCCCTTGCTAGCCACATCTTGGCTGGCTCCAAACCCTGCTGGGCTTCTTTCTCCCCTGCCCTCAGAAGGGATCACAAAGCTCCCTGAGGTCTGGTTATCATCAGCTGGGCTTTCAGCCTCTCGGTGCTTCTGCATTTGGGCCGCACGGCAGAAAACAGAACACTCGGAAAGGAAAGAGCCATCAGGGCTCTAGGAACTGCGAGGGCTCTGAGGAAGGGAGAGACACGAAATGCAACGAGTACCCATCGCATACAAGGGCTGAGTCCTGACACGGGCTTCCATGGAAGCACCAACAGGAACACAAGGCTGGAGCAGAGGTGATGCTGAATTCCAACACTTTCATTACCAYTTACACAGCTTTTGTGTTGTCTTGGGCCTGTTGTTACAGGGTCTTCCTTAACACCACCACAGAAAGCTCCTAACCCCTGCAGACCACCAAGCCATCAACCAAGAGATCAGCAAAGCCCGACTCCTTGGTCCAGGAGCCATGATCCACATGAATTCTTCTCACAGAGAAGCTACAACTTGGGAACATCCAAAGCATCACACCAAGCTTTGGGACTGGCTGCTTGGTCGCTGAGCTCCAAAATCCAGCCCAAACCCAGGGATCCATGTGCAACCCAGGGAACTCCATGACTTCCTCATGGCTCCAGAGCAGAGTTTTGGGCTGGCTCAAACCAACTGACTCACTCCAAGAGTATCAACAGGTGATTTTCCTCACTTGGAAATTCACCCTTCCCAAGGCCCCACTATTCCCTGCTGGGAAGGTCACTTAGCCAATGGCTTCACCAGCAGCGATTTTATTTAGCAAACCATGGTAAAAATATCATKTCTCCCCAGTAACTTTTGGTCCTTAACTTTCTTCTATCCTTTTTTCTTTTWTTTTTTTGGTGCACATAGAARGTTTCCAGCAGGGCCAGTGCTTTATAGCTCTTGCTGGTTGAGCAGGAGCCCTCACCCCAGGATCCAGGCTGCTCTCCTTCCCTTTGAAACAAGCAGCTGGGGAAACTGTCTCCTCCTGCCTTGTTCAACCAGCCTCGCGTCCGCGCTTTGTAATTAGTGGTTGGAGAAGASGGGGGGGAAAAAGTCTAAAATAAAATCCGGACTATTCTTGTTGTTTTATTGAGAATGCCTCCTGCTGCGTGTATAATTTCTGAACTAACTATCCTTAGAAAAAAAAAGAAAACAGCAACTACCCTGCAATTTCTGTAGAGCAGTAAAACAGCCCATTTTCCCTAGAGTGACCCTCCACATGGCAAATGGACAAAAGGAGGAGATCTTTGGGGTCTGGGAATATTTGGGATTAACCGTTAAAATAATGGCTGGCTTTGCAGCAGGGGGAGGGCTGCAGAGCTGCGGTGGGAACCCCGGAGCYGGGCCCAGGAGCAGCTTCCCTGGCGCTTGCTGGGAACCACCCGGAGCGGGTGACATGCTGGGCAGAGCYGGTGTCACCCCCGGTACCTGCCGGGGGAATCTCCTCCAGGGCACCGGCTGCAGGGGCTCCRCTTGTGCATCACCCCTTTGTGTGACTGCCCAGGGCCCCGCTCCCATGGACGGAGGGGGGCTCCACGCTGCAAGTCCCACAGCCCCAGCCCATTCCCACTTCCAAAGGGTTTCCCAGCACAAACAAACCCACATCCCGCCGGGAAAGCGGCACAGAGGCTCATACAGAGGCCCATTCTCCGTGCTCGCCCTGGCACGCGGAGGTGCCCGTGGGGCGCCGAGGCAGCCCCCAACCCGCTCGCTCTGCGCCCCGCAACAGGAGCCCCGCAGCCTCCCAGGGCAGGCCGGGGCCGGGGCAGGCCCGGGGGGGCCAAGGGGAACCCGGCAGAAACTGGAGCAGGACGAGGGGGGCAGCGAGGCGAGGAGCGGAGCGGGCAGAGCGCAGGGAGCGCGCACGGAGGGGAGCGGAGCGGGGGGCGCTCACCGTTGAGGCGCACCGTGAACTGCCGCCGCTTGCGGTCGTGCTCCACCTGGATGGGGCAGCTCTGCTCCAGGAGGCCGAGCGGCGCCGCGTGCGCCATGGCGCCGGGCCGGGCGCTCCGCGGGGTGGGAGCCGGCAGGGCGGCCGGGAGCGCGGCGAGGAGGCGGC